TGTCTATCTGCCAGGCATCTTGCTTTGCCGGGACAGATGTGACCCTGCCCATGTGGAGGGCCAGTGTGGTCCTTGGTACAGGTGGGTCAGCCCTTGTCTAGACGAGCCCAGCCCCACTAGCACAGACCTCTGAGACAGTGGAGAGCAAGGTGGGGCTGCAGGGACAGACAGGTGTCTGGTGGCTGCCCCACCCCCTGGGGCACCCTGACCTGGGGCCTCCTCCCTGGTGGGTTCCCAGGGGCCTCCCCAGCCTTTTCCAGTCACTTTGAGATTGGCAAGTCTGTCCTCTCTGGTGCAGGCCCACAGGGGGCCCGGGGGAGGGGCAGGATCCCCAGCCACGTCAGGGAAACCCCCCAGGTTGGCCCTCCTCCACAGGCCCTCTCCTGCGCCGGCTCTGAGTCTGCAAACACTGGTGAGGGGTCAGGGAGGCAGGGGGGCGCCCCGCTGGGGAGAAGTCATTTGCTGTAGCCGATAAGGGCAGGGCTGGGAGGGGCCTGCGGGCCCTGGGTTATCGGGCAGGCCACTCGGGTCAGTGTGTTTCCTGTCGCTATCGGCCGGGGCAGCCTCTGGGGCTGGCCTGCGGGAAGGCCTCGGGCCTGAAAACATTCCCTGGGTCCCAGGGCTGAGGGCTCTGCCCCGCGGGGGGCCAGGAGAGAGATTTCCAGAGAGTGGGCAAAGACAAGGGCTGCGGGCTGGTCTGTGCACGTGGAGTGCAGCCAGAACGGCAGTCATAAATGACCACAATAACCGCCCTCCTGACATCTGCGGCAGCCCATCTGCCAGGCTCTGTGCTGTTCATGGACGTCTCAATGACCCAGTCATTGCAGCTAATTCTGTAACTGTCCCCATTTAGCAGACGTGGGGAGAGGAGGCCTGTCCCTGCCCCCCACGTCCTGAGCCTCAGCTGTGAAGGGGTCATGATCGTCCCCCTGGGGTAGGGACTTTCTGTCCCTTCTCTGCTGCGTCCCTAGCAGCTGGCACAGGCCTGGCACCCAGCAGGCTTGTAGCGAGCGTGGGTGCAGGAGGGAGGCCTAGGGGTGGGGCTGGGCAGCCATGGAGCTCCTTCCTGTCTGCCCGTGAGCCTTGGGCTGACACACACCCAGAGGGACACACACGTGCACACACACACAAACACACGTCTGTGCTTATAACACAGAGACACTCATTAACACCAGAAATACCAAACCGTTGCCGTCGAGTCAATTCTGACTCGTAACGACCCTGTGATAGGACAGAGTAGAATCGCCCCACTGGGTTTCTTAGGCCGTAATTTTTTTTTTTAATTGAAGATTTTTTTTTTTAATTGTACTGCAGGTGAAGGCTTACAGAACAAATAGCTTCTCATGAAACAGTAGTACACATATTGTTTTATGACATTGGTTAACAACCCCACAACAT